GAAGCAGATTGAGCACACCAACGACGAGCGTCGTATGCTGAACCGGGTCAGGCATCCGTTCCTGATCACTCTCTGGGGTACCTGGCAAGATTCGCGCAACCTGTATATGGTCATGGACTTTGTAGAAGGTGGTGAACTTTTCAGTCTGCTGCGCAAGTCCCAGGTAGGTGGTCGCACAATGCTCCGTGGTCTCGGAGTCCTTCCCTGAGTCCGTGCTAATAAGCTTCAGCGGTTCCCCAATCCTGTCGCTAAGTTCTACGCCGCTGAGGTGACCCTTGCCCTGGAGTACCTCCACTCTCAGCAGATCATCTACCGAGATCTCAAGCCCGAGAACTTGCTTCTGGATCGGCACGGACACTTGAAGATCACCGATTTTGGTTTCGCGAAGGAGGTTCCTGACATCACATGGACCCTCTGTGGAACCCCCGATTACCTGGCCCCGGAAGTCGTGTCTTCCAAGGGCTACAACAAATCCGTGGACTGGTAAGAAGCTATCCGCTGGTGGTCCTGCAGCACTGCTAACTCTACTAAAGGTGGTCATTGGGAATTTTGATCTTTGAGATGCTCTGCGGTTTCACACCTTTTTGGGACAGCGGCTCCCCTGTGAAGATCTATGAGAACATCCTGCGAGGCAGAGTCAAGTACCCGCCTTACCTGCATCCCGATGCCGTCGATTTGCTATCGCAGCTCATCACAGCGGACCTCACCAAGCGTCTGGGAAACCTTCATGGAGGCTCTGAGGATGTGAAGAACCACCCCTGGTTCGCCGAGGTTACCTGGGACCGCCTGGCTCGGAAGGATATCGATGCTCCTTATGTGCCGCCCATCCGGGGCGGGCAAGGTGACGCCAGCCAGTACGACCGGTATCCTGAGGAGACGGAACAGTACGGCATGGGTGGAGAAGACCCGTATGTATCCCTATTCGATTCCCTTTCGCGTTTAGCCTTGCTAACTTGGAATAAGTCACGGCCATCTGTTCCCCGACTTCTAGTGGTCGCCATGGTTCACGATGAAATGAAATCCCGCCTTTCCATGGATTTGTTCTTGCTGAATCGAGTCGATTGATGGTTCCGGGGGCGTTTAAGAGCGGGTATAATCCTCCCCGGAGTTTCTCCCGAGGCTATCTCCTAAAATAGCCTTATCTTGAATGATCACTTACCACTGTTGCTGCGATGGATTTTGCTCTGCGTCGGCTTGTCTGTTTCCATGATCGCTGGCCGAATCAAGCCTTGGCTGCTTCCAGACTTTAGAGCATATAACAATATGGTCTTAACCTGTTCATATATCTCTTTATCTCTCTTTTGGGAACTGGCTCAACCCTTTCTCCGTTCCCGTCCCTCGATTCCTGTCTCTCTTGATGATTTATAGGCGCGACTCGGTTTTCACTCGCACGGTTGCTCGAACCAGAAAACACCGTCCTCTGCCTATGGCTTGCTTACTTTCTGCTGCTGGTTGTTATTACGAAGGGACGTGGCTGGAGTTACTAACCGCGGTGGCGGTGCTGAATCTTGCGGGGGCGCAGGTCTGCTGTCCAACCAACCACGACCGCTCATTGAATTGGTGTCGTGCTTTTTTCTGTTATCTATGTTGTGCAAATATGGGGATATATTCGGGTTTTCTTGGATCGTTTCTCTTTCCGTGTCGCGTGTGGAGGCTATTGTATCATGTACATACAATTGGGGATATTCTAATAGCTATAAAAGTCGACCTTGGAGATACGTGATCAACACGACTACCACTCGGTAGTTGACGTTTGAGAAGAGAAGAGAAAACAAGGAAAGAAAAGACCTAGATATTGGAATGGCTGAAGAGACTCTTTTTAAGCTCGAGCAATCGCCCGACCCTGTCCTTTCCAAAGAGCAAGTGTAGGTAAGGGCCCCCTCAAATGACCACCCGATAGTATACATAGGAAACACGAACCCCCACAATGCTTTGCATCCTGGGTTCCCGCTTCACGCAACACGCGTCTACAAGCCCAGAAGAAAACTATCAGCTCTCAGGCCTGCTACTCACTAGCACCACTTCCACTACTCCCACGATACAGGAGGATGAACGGTCAACGCCGAGACCCAACCGACATAGCCCCTTCTTCTTGTTCTTTAACCCAAATGGAAGAAGGGTGGAAATTTCGAAAAAGGTATTCGACTCCGAAAAAATCTAGAAATACAGAGAGGGAAAACGTTGTTTATATTGTTTTTTGTGTAGGAGATCTGCTTCCGCTCACAGAGAAACACCGGACAGGTCGGCGCCGCCCAGGCTCTTGGATTCCTTGGAGACACGGGCGATGTAGGCGCGGCTGCTGGCGTTCCAGAAGCCGATGTACTTCTCCATGCATTGCGACAGGCAGGTGGACTCCTTGGCCGTGAGGGAGGAGCCGGGCGTGGGGACGCAGGCGTCAAAGCAGTGCTCGTTGACCTTCTGTGGGGTTTTGTTAGATTTGTGCTTTGTTGGAATCAAAACGAAGGGGTGCTGGGTATGACTCGGAGATGAAGATAAGTAAGTAAGAGGAGGGAGGGAGACATACGCCGATCAGGCTTCGGGCATTGCTCATGGCGGCCTCTTCCTGGACCTGACGGATGAGCGAGGCCTTGATCTCCTGGCTGGTGGATGGGGAGGAGGCCTCGGCGGAGGAGGAGGAACCGAAGAGGGCCATTGTGTAGAGTTAGAGGGGAGGTTTTGAGGAGGTGGGGGCGTTGAGAGCAGAAAGAAATGTGGTTAATATACAAAGAGTAATGAGTGAGGAAAATGGGTTCAGTGGTATCGGAGAACCGTGACGATTTGGGGGTTCAAGATCTTGCGGCCGCGGAGATCATATTGTGGCTAGTGTCCGGTCCGATGAAAAGCTGCGCCACGGCAATGAGCTAACTAACCGTACCGGCGATGTGGACACTTGGAGAGTTTCCCGCTATGTGGTTGTTTAGTTATAGATCCCTTCTTCTCATCCAACCACCACACAGACACACACACACCACCTGTCATTCTCTCTCTCTCTCTCTCCTCCCCTCCGACTAACTATCTCCGGTGTTCGTTCTTTTCTCACCCAACTTTTTTGTGAAACTCCTTTTTTCCCGGAGTCTTTTTCCTTCTTCCGCCAAGTGAGGTAAGTTCTGGATTTCTGGATTGTTTATTTGAGTTTCCTCCAACCCTCAAGCTTGCTGGCCATCTGACGTGTGGGGGGAGGGTGCTCGTTTACCCGAACCTTTGCCAGAAGCCGTTATACGTCCTGGTGACCAAATTCAAAAACAACAAAGCTGTCTTTCTCCCGTTCGCGACCTGTTGCCGACCTTGCGCGCTTTCGTCGATTGTTCTTCGATCTCACCGACCTTTGGGTGTACAGCCAAGTTTCAATTAAGATTGTGTGATATCACCATGCTGCTTCCGCGGCTTTCGTCTCTCCTCTGCTTTGCTGGCCTCGCTTCGGTCCCACTGGCCAATGCCTACGACGGCGATGATGTGAAGAGCATCCCGGTGTGTAGTAGCCCAAACCCAAGACGATCCATTATTTCTATCCTGGATCATTGATAAACTAATGCGACGCGCGGAGGGTGGTATAGCTTCGGACCCATAGTCTCGCACCGGTGGGTTTTCTCTTTCGCACCACGGCAATCAATACGCATTACAGCCTTTTGTTGACAATTGACTTGTGATAAACAATAGCCGTACTTGGACTCCGACTTCCAAAGCCGCTGGTTCGATTTTGGTGGTGATACGATAATCCGGGCGGACCAGTACGAGAGATCCCCCGACACTTTCGGTTTGGTGTAAAACTGACCACTTGCGCGTTGCGTTGTCCTTTCGTTCCAGATACATCCGTCTTACCTCCGATCGACCTTCACAGCAGGGATGGATCTTCTCTCGAGTGCCCTTGACCGCGACGAACTGGGAGGTTAGTTTCAGTTGTGCTTGATGGTTTGCACGGTGGGGGATATTGGTTTGTGAGGGGGTACGGTGGGCTGATATGCGAGACGTTCTGTTATAATAGATCGAGGTCGAGTTCAAGATCCACGGCGCCGGTAACCTGCACGGCGATGGGTTCGCCATGTGGCTCACCAAGCAGCGCGCGACGCAGGGTCCCGTCTTCGGCTCAACAGACAACTTCGAGGGCCTGGGCATCTTCTTCGACACCTACAAGAACAACCGCCCCGGTACTACGTTCCCCTACGTCATGGCCATGATGGGTGATGGCCAGACCTCCTACGACCAGGCCCATGATGGCCGCGCCAATGAATTGGCTGGATGTTCTGTACGTTTTTTATCTGTTCTACTTTGCTTGCGGAAGAGAGGACCATGCTAATTCGTTCTTTAACCGAACAAAAGGCTCGCGGTCTCCGTGGCGCCTCCATCCCCACCAAGGCCCGCTTGACCTACTTCCAGGATAAGACCCTGACGCTGGAACTGCAGTACAAGAAGGAGGACACCTGGATCCAGTGCTTCGAGCTGAACGCCGAGGACAAGAACATCGCCATCCCCTCCGTCGCCTACCTGGGTTTCTCCGCGGAGACGGGCGAGCTCAGCGACAACTTCGACATCGTCTCCGTCAAGTCCCAGAACCTGTACAGCGTCGGCGGCGGCAGCCCCGGTGCGAAGAGCGGGCCCTCGCGCGCCCGCGGGCAGGATACGGCTCGGGTCAAGCGCCGCCAGAAGAAGGGCAGCTGGGGCTGGTTCTTGTTCAAGGTTGTGCTGTTCCTGGCCGCGGTCGTGGGCGCGTACGTGGGTTGGACTGCTTATCGGTCCAAGCAGCGGTACTCGAGATTCTGAAGTGGGGTGGGTGGGTAGATAAAGAGATGAGAAAGCTTTTAGTTTCTTGTGCATGCGTATATGAATTCGACTGAGCAGGTGAAGATTTCTTAGCCTTGAGGACTTACGGTGTTTTGGTAATCGTTGTATTAGTCGTAATCTATAGGTCGAGGGTATCAATCGCTAAAAAAAAAGGACGTGCCAGTGATGCATATATGCCAACTGGACAAAGTCGGACCGGGTCTCTCCAAATCCACCATCTATCAGGCAGAGTCCCTGGTCCTGAGATCATTCCACAAGTGATCGATAATCTGAAACACCTCCGTCACCGAGCGCAGCACCGCCTCCTCGATCCCGAGCACTCCATACCGCTGCTGGATCTTATCCGGATGCCAGCGAACGCGCTCCGCCTTCAGCACCGCCAACAACTCCGATGACCCGTTGGCAGCCTGAGGGGAATGTCGCATGAACGCCTCCACATTTTCCTTGCTCACATCCTTCCGCTTCCCCGATTCCACCGGCCAGAAGACGAGATTGCGGAAGCTGCCCTTACCCCCTCGATCCCCTCCCTCCCGCCCCCCCCTCCTTCCCCGGGGTACCAGCAGCAGCAGCAGCAACTTGAACAGCCCCATCCAACCTCCCCCAACACCCGAGATAAGCCTCCCACCCCTCCCTCCACGCCTTCTCGCGCTTCCGCTCCCTCCCGCGCCGCAAACTCGCCTCGATGGCCTCATCGAACGCCTTGCGGGTATTCTCCCCCGCCTGCCGCTGTTTCTCCTGCTGGCGCTTCCGATGCCGCTCCGCCCGCAACCGCTCCTGCTCTTCGAGCATCCCCTCCCTTGTCCGCTCCCACATCTTGCTCCGCACGTAGGCCGCGTACTCCTCCTCGTCCATCTGCTCGAGTTCCCCCGAGGGGCCCGTGGGCACGGAAGGGATAGCGTACGTGTGGATCGGTTGCCCGTAGACGGATTCCCAGTAGGTGGCGCCTTCGTCGTCGCCGAGGGCGTCGAAGAGGGATTCCCGGAAGGCGGTGTCGGGGTCTAGGTCGAAGGTTGTTGTTGGTGTGGAGGCTGGGTCGGGGGTTGGAGGGGTGGGTTGGTGAGGGTGGCGGTTGCGGTGGGCGCGGCGGGCGCGGTGGGCGGTGTGACGGGTTTCTTTTTCTAGGGGGTCTTTGGGTGTGCGGTTGGGTTTGTCTTTGGTCTTGGAGCTGGGGCGGGAGGGCGATTTGAAGCGGAATCTTTTGCGGCGGGGTTGTTGTTGCTGGTTATCTTGGGAGGAGGGGTTGGACGGGGGGGAGTGAGGGTTCAGGGGTCGGGTTGGACAGGAGGTTCGGTCTGTTGGTTCGGGCATTTTGGTGAGTTTGAGGTGGTGAAGTGGTAGGTGGTGGTATGAGATTGGTGATGGTTGTGAAAAGGTGGGGAGAGGATGGCGTGGTTGAATGAATAATAGATTCGGTTCACGGCATTGTTGAGGTTAGGATGTTCGATGGGAGAAAGGAAGGTGGAATTGCGGTGGTAGGCAAGGTGATTCGGTGGTGTTGGAGCAGTTCGTGATGAGGTTAGGTGTTGGGAAAGAGTGACGGTGTCGAGATAATGACGGTGGTTGGTTTGGTGTTGAAGTAAATGTTGAATGAGCCCAGCAGTGGAAACTACTCCAGACTCTTGGCGGGGACGGAGGGCGGGATTGACGACGGATTACTGGATGCGGTGTAGCGTGACTGCACTGAGGGACTACAAGCTAACTTACTACATAGTACGTACTGTATAACTAAGATCACGTTATAACATTTTAGAAGCTATCTTCAACATCGAATAAGACCCCTGCGTACTTGCTTCGTGGTTGTATCAGCACACAGAGGCGTCGTAGTCTTGCCCCTCTGAGCCCCCGATTTTCTTGTCGCTGAATCTCCTGGCGAGCAAGGAACCTCCAGATGGACCCATTCGTTGCAGAGCTGTAACGATACTCAACATCCCTCCATTACGAGGGACGTTCTCCAGAGGTAAACTGTGCGCGTCCTTGGCTTCCTTTCTCTGGCGACGCCCTTCCCATGTTTAGCATCATTCGCTTCGGTGGGTTTCAAAAAGGCATTTCAGCTGCCCTGCAGGTAGCAAATAAAAAAGATAAAAGAATAAGTGCATCATCCGTGAATCGAACACGGGCCTCATCGATGGCAACGATGAATTCTACCACTAGACCAATGATGCTAGTTGATATCATTTGGTTTGTTTTACGGTAGGATATAGCCGCGCAAATTGATCTAGTCCAATTCGGTACAATTTAGTCCATCCCCCAATCATTTATTACACTTTTAGATGTTAAATTACGATGACTTACCCTGGTACCAATGTGCAATCTTAGGGCAGTATGAAGTACTGGACGCAATGCTTATCAACTAGCGCAGAATCGGTTATCAGAACATCAGAACATCAGGTTATCAGGCTATTCATCTTCAACCATCATCCCATGAAAGCGGGGTAAACAGATCCTCTTGCGCAACATCGGATCATCATGTTTTCAACCCAAGAAGCTGTACAAAATGTATTCAAGCAGTTCCCGGCTCTCTATCGTGGTCCGGGCGGTGCAGTGGCCATTCTTGAAGATGGAAACGTGCTTGGTCAACATGTCTGGGGATACGCTGATATCGACCGGCGTATTCCGATGACCTCGGAAACGATGATGCCTATCTGCTCGATCACCAAACAGATGGTGTGCATGTGCCTTAAGGCACTGGAAAGACAGTTACACTTTCATCTCGAAGGCGATGACCAAGTCCAGTCGCATTTAGAATCCCACTTTCGCGAGATCTGGCCCGAAAACCTCAACTCCTTCCCAGAACCCTCCAGACCGAGTCTCCGTCAACTCTGCGACAACCAATCCGGCCTACGAGACTACTGGGCCCTGACTACACTCTGGGGCGCTCGACCGGACGGAGTCTTCTCATTACCCGAAGCCGGTGAAAAGATGCTCGAGCGCCTAGGTGCCCCTCATTTCACCCCAGGGACCCAGTACTCCTACGCCAACACCAACTTCCACATTCTGGCACGGGTCATCGAGCGCTGCAGTCGCACCTGCTTTCCCTCCGGAAACAAGCCGCTGGGCGAGTGGCTCGGCGAGCATGTTTTCACACCGGCAGCAATGGCGTCCGCGCGCTTGCATCCGGACAATGCCTCGTTGCCTGGAGATTGCGTGGGATACGAAGGGGACGAGGCGCGCGGCTACATCGCCGCTGTCAATCGGATCCACTGGTCCGGCGACGCGGGCGTCGTGGCTTCGCTGGCAGACATGATCGCGTACGAGAAGTTCCTCCATCGCAGCTGGGCGGACGAGACGAGCATCTATCGAGAAATGGCCCTCCCTCCCACTTTCGCGGACGGGACCCCGGCCCCCTACGGCTACGGCCTCGAGCACGTTGTGGTGGCGGGCGTGCCGACGGTTGGCCACGGGGGTGCTCTGCACGGCTACCGGCTGCACAGGCGTCACGTTCCCTCTCAGAAGCTCTCTGTAGTGGTAATGTTCAATCATGAGGCGGACGCCGAGAAGGCAGCGCAGGCTATTTTGGCGAGGCTTCTGAAGAAAGACGAAGTGCTACGCTCAGTGTCCCATAGTGTGACACTCAGCTCGCAAAATTGGCCGGGATACTACTGGGACGAAGAGGCTTGCCTGGCCATTGAGGTGAAGAATCGCCCTGATACTGGCGATATTGTCGTCACCTACGCGGGCGAACCGGACACTTTGGTCCCCATGCGACCAGATCGGGCTGAATCTCGCACCACTTTGGCCACGCTGGAGGATGACCGTCTCCGTCTCGACTGGCCGCAGCCGAATAGGAATATCACTGCTCACCGGCTTGTCCGCTCTCCTACACAGCCAGACGAGAAGACTTTTGCTGGGACTTATGTCTGCCGCGAACTGGACTCGACTTTCTATTGTGCCGAAAGTGGCGGACTGCTGTATGGATACTTTGATGGCTTTCTCGGCCGTGGTCTAGTGCATTTTATGCGTTACTTGGGCGAGTGCAAGAACGGATCAGTGTGGGCCTTAGCCTGTCCGCGGGGAATGGATGCCCCTGCGCCGGGGGACTGGAGTCTCTGTTTCACTCGTAGAGAGGATGAGACAGTCTCGGGGGTGACGATCAGTTGTTGGCTGGCTAGGCGTGCCGTGTTTGCACGGAGGTCGTAGCGGTTGGCTTCAGTCAGATATGGCATAAGCCCACGCTTACGGTATGCCTCGTCTGGGCTTTTCAATGTTCTCCATAACGGCGTTGTGACTCATATGTAGAGGATTATTCTAGCCAGCCAATGCTACTCGTAGAGTGACAGAACTCAAGCAGGAAATTGAGCGTTTTGACCTGGACGGTAGCACTATAGACTTAGGGCTACAGCATGGCTGTTATCTTATCTGACGATCATGTGAAAGAGCAGCATGATGTCACAGAAATTCCTTTTGATGCAAGCTATGGGATCGCATTTGACCAGGACATTTTGCACGAGCCTCAGCGACTCGAATCATATCTCAGCTCGTGGCAGATAAGAGTACCAAGCGACAAAACCCACCTGAAGTATACGCGCAAGGCCCCAGCAATACACTCAAGCTAGAACCACTAACTTACCACGGAGGTCGACACACCGCCCGTATTTCTGCCTGAACCATCAGGCCTCTAAAGCTACTACCACCTTAACGTTACCAGACCATCGCCGCGCCTGCAGCGCCAGCCAGCCCAGCCCGCAATCCCGCGCGCATCTCCGAATATTTGTTCCCTCAATGCAACCACCACCACTACCACCATCGCCTTCATTACCACCTCCTCAACCTTCATCACACAGCTCGCATATACACACCCACGAATCACAATGGCCCTAGTCGCCTACTCCGACTCGGAAGCCTCCGACTCCGAACCCGAAACCACCACCACCACCACCACCACCACCACGACGAAGAAACCCACATCCACCGCACCAGCACCAGCACTACCCTCCACAATCACCACCACAACAACAACCTCATCAACAACACCAAAACCCTTCCAAATCGACCGCAGCAACCCCCGCAAAATCCGCGTCGCCCTCCCGGACCTCAAACCCGACACCAGCACCAACGAAGACACCGACGGACCCGCGCGCAAAAAGCCCCGAATTGGCGGCGGTGGCGGCGGCGCATTCGCGGGATTCAATGCGCTCCTCCCCGCTCCCAAGAAACCCGCAGTTACTCCTAAACCGTCTGCGACCGGATCCACGAGGAAGGTATTCAGTCTGAAGACGGGGGCGACGCCGGGGTTCGATCGGCAGGCGGACGCGGAGATGCGAAGTGAGATGGCTTTTGGGCGGTTGGGCGAGGATGAGACAATTCCGAAGGCGGGGAGTTTGCGGGGGGATAACGATGATATTCTTGGGGAAGGGGAAGGGGGGCAAGGGAAGAACGAGGGTTCGAAGGCGAATATGGATACGAAGCCACCGCCGGAGGTCAAGTTGAAGGGGAATCCGATGATGTTTAAGCCGTTGTCGGTTGGGCGGGGGACGCAGGGGAAAGGGAAGCGGAAGGCTGGACCTATTGCTGTAACCGGAAGTGGTGGTGCTTCGGGGCCGTTGAAGAAGGATCTAGGGGGTGGTTCGTCTGCTGGTGCTGCTGCTGGTGTTGCACCACCTGTAGCGGCGGCTGCGCCAGCGCCAGCACCAGCACCACCCAAACCAAAGATCAGTCTGTTCTCACTCTCCTCGTCGACAGAGGAGACCGTCACCGCGCCAGCACCAGCACCAGCAGCCTACGAACCCCTAGTCTACACCAGCACCCAAGAAGCCACGGCGCCCGCCGGCCCCGAACCCCCCGCTGCCGCTCCCGAACTCGCACACCCCTCCTACCCACCAACTTCAACCACAACAGGAAACACCACCCTCAGCGCCATCGCAGATGACCTCAACCTCACTCGCGCCCAAAGGCGCCAGCTCTTCGGACGGTCCGCCGACCCCTCCGGGCCAGCCGCAACCGCAGCAGCCCCGCGGGTCCTCCACTTCAACACCGACCGGGAGTACGCCGCCAACCAGCAGATGGCCCACGAGGACCTCGCGGCCGCGCAGCATAACCCTGTCCGGGCGATCGCGCCGGGCAAGCATACGCTGCAGCAGCTGGTCAGTGCGGCGAGCACGCAGCGGGAGGCGCTGGAGGAGAGTTTCGCGACGGGGCGGAGGAACAAGAAGGAAGCCGGGTCGAAGTATGGCTGGTAGAAGATTATCTATCTTGCTGGTGGGCTGGGTTGGGTGGTGATTGAGGGATTTCTTTGGCTGTTGGCCGCCGAGGGCCAAGGGTCAAGGGGGAAGTGGGAAGTGGGAGGTTGGAGGTGAAGTCTGATGCTGACGTCCAGGCTGTGTATGTAGTTACCATTTGATTGGTTTTTTTTTCCGATGGATAGGGATGGACTGCCTTGTAAATTTAATAAGATACGGCAAACGTAATCTACGTGGGAGAATCTGCACCTAAGAGTGTCTTGTAGCAAAGTTGGGCAAAATTGCACAGCTGCTTTGCGTCATGCTAGAGTGCATGCATGATGTTTTGGTTCATGAAACAAATGATTTTAGCTTACTCTATGCTGAAGTCTACATTCCAAAGCAGCTATCATGTATGAAATCTATTTGCTAAACTATATGCAACCAGTATATACAGTAAATGCTAACCCAGAACTTTTGTATCTAACCCTAACAAAACACCACCCCGTCGAAACACTAAGAAGAAACATCCACCACCTCGGCGAACCACTGCTTCAGCGCCGTCGCCAGAACCGCGGGGAGCTCGCGCACATCACGCACCACCAGATAATACGGGAAGGGGAATCCTTCGAGGTAGCGCTTCATCTTTAGCTTCATCTCGCCGCTGCCGCTGTCTAGGTCCGGCTCGAAGCTGGCCTGGGTGAGGTCGAGGATGGAGCTGCCCTTGACCGCGTCGACGATGATGAAGACGATCATGATGCGCTCCTCCTGCGCCTGGCGCACCAGGCGGCTGATGGTCTCGTGGTCCTCGCAGATGCCGTCGGAGATGATCAGCTCGAGCTGCCACAGGTCGGCGTTGCCGCCGCCGGGGGACTGCTTCCAGCGCGCCTCGCGGAACAGCGCGATGGAGTCGGCGATCAGCTTGCGCACGTTAGTGCCCGTCTGCTGGTAGCTGAAGTGCTGGAAGACCTGGGTGCCGGCCTCCGAGGAGAACGGCTTGCCGAACTCGTGCGCCACCCGCACGTGGTCCTCGTTTCCAAAGCCGAGCACGCACAGGTCGCCGGCCTCGAGCATGCTCAGACTCTTCGCCACGAGCGCCAGCGTCTCGAAGGCTAGCTGCCCACTGCCGCTCTCCAGCATGGACTTGCTGTCGTCGACCGCCAGCATGATCTGGTAGTTGCGCTTCGAGGGGATCGACCGCCGCATCCAGATCTTGTCCCGCTTGTACTGCGAGGCGATGTACGGGATGATCCGCTTGATGTTGAGCCGCTTGCCGGTGCGGAAGTCACCGCGGAGTTTGGTCGCAAGCGTGGGGGCAAGGATAAGCCGCAGCTGCTCCGTTAGCGACAAGGAGAGATCGGTGGTCGCAGACTCATAGTACGACCAGAGTCGTTGAGCTTCGTCCCGTGGCGTAAGCGGGGGAAGGGTCGAGGATAGGTGGATTGCAGCCAGGTGTGCATCGACCTCATCCAGTTCCTCATCGGCTGCCTCCTGGCCTGCAGTAGCATCTGCCCGCTCCTGGCTTTGAAGGTTTCCAGGGATGAAAGCGCCGGCCGTCTGCGACTCAGTGGGGGCGCTTCCCTGGTCGAGCTGCATCTCGTCTTCAAGACGGTGCTCGGGGAGATCCTGGATGTTGTCGTCGGTGATATCTGGCAGGAGTTCATTGTTCTCGTCCGGCTTGACATCCGATTCGACGCCCTTGTTCTGGTCGAGAGCCTTGGCTTGTTCTTCGTTGGCCTGACCAAGCGCTTGGGTGTCGGCAACATCGTCTTGATCCGCAAGATGTTCAAAGTCGGCATCCGCCATATCAGTATCCTCAGGCAATTGAGTTTCGGCCTCATCGTCTTCCTGCTTGGAAGCATCCATTATCTCCTTCTGTCGACGATGCCATTGTTCGAGGACGTCACCCAGTTTCTTGAACGCTTGGAGTTGAGGATCCTCTGGGTTGGAATCGTTGGCGCCGCCTTCATCCTTATGTCTTTGATTTTCATCTCCCTCCTGTGCAGCGCCAGTCTTCTGCTCTTTCTCGTCAGAGGGATCGGTGGAGCCACTCTCCTGCTGCGCGTTACCAGACGAGCCCTTCTCCTGGTTCTGATCTTGCTCGGCTCCCAGGCCACCGTTGACAGCTTCGCTGGGAGCGACCTCCTCGCCAGCAGCCTCGTTCTCATCGCGTTGGGCGAGGAAGTCATCCTCCTGCTTCTCTTCTTCCTCTGCCTCTTCGCCGGCCTCATTTGCCTCATCATTACCTTCAGCCTCGTCCGCATCGCCCAGCTCGTCATCGGGACCAGCTTCCTCGGTCTGATCAATCTCCTGCTCCTCCCCATCCTGTTCCATGGTCTCATCTTCGACGCCGTCTCCCTCCATTTGCTGCTCTTCTTCCGCAGGAGGGAGGTCATTATCCATCATATCATCATCAAGGCCGTCGTCTTCCTCAGGCTCTTCGTTACCCTTCTCATCCCCATCCAGTTGCATCTCCTCTGGAAGATCGAGCGCCTCTTCTTCCTTGGCATGTGGATCGGTAACATCCATATCTTCACGCCCAACAGCCTCACCCTCCTCATCAGGAGCTTCTTCACCTTCTTCGTCATCTTCTTCCTCTTCCTCCTCTTCACCCTCCTTGTCTTCACCCTTCTCAGCTTCCTGGCCAGGTTGCTGGTCAGGCGCGGCTGTCTGCTCATCATTCTCCGCCGCGCCCTTGCCCTCTTGGGTCTCAGTCTCCTTCTGCTGATCATCGTGCTCGCCATCCCACATCTTCTCATCGACAGCCGAGGCATCGAGATCATCAACATCGCCTACCTCTTCATCAATATCATCCTCTTCGTCTGAGCCGCTTTCATTGTCATCTTCGTCGTCTCCCTCCTTCCTCTCGCCTTCTTCACCCTGCATCTCCTCCTGATCCATGTTGACCGCATCTTCAGAGTTCTCAATCTCTTCATCGGTCTTCTGCTTGTCCTCCTGGGCGAGTTCCGTCAGGTCCTCGTCGTCGGCTACATCCTTGCTGATATCTTCGGCCCCCTCTCCCTCGCCAAGACCGGTGCCACTCTCCAACTGGCCAGACTTGCTTTCCTCCGTGGACGGCTCGGACGGGCTACAGAAGCCTTCCGATGCGATCTGCGTGAACGATTTAGCGAGGATGTAAGACATCTTACATGTCTCCTTGTGCACCGTCAGGTAGCGATCGACCACGTCTCGACAGATATGCGCGAACTTATTCAAGATCGGCAACAGGGTCGCCGTCAAGGCAATGGCAAACGGGAGGCTGGAAGGCGAGCGAGTCTGGAGGTGCTGCAGCTTTTCAAGAACAGACTCGAGGGAAGTCGAGATGTCGGCCATGCGAAGGAGCCTGAGTGCCCGGACGAAGAAGTCGTCACTCCGGGACAGCGCACCAGGGGCGGTGATTTGCGACGGAGCTTCGTTCAGCTTCTGGATACTGACAAGGATCTTGTCAGCGGCTGCGATGAGACTCGAGTCGTATTCTTCAATGGAAACGCCAAGGTCATGGCTCCTAGACTCATATGCGACGGCATTGACCGTCGACCATGGGATGATCTGGCCCAGAACAAAGGACAGGTCAGGGCGCTCCTCGGTCCATGTGGCGAGGTTAAAGTTCAGCCTCGTGAAAGCCGTGCAAGCTTCTTCTACGGTGGTCTTGTGCACACGTGAAGCCATTCCCTCAGGCAACTCGGGGAGATGGCTCAGTGTGGTCTTGAGGCGGTCAAACGTGTCTTTCCAAGCCTGTAGGCTCTCAATCACGCCTGTAGAGTTGATGCCCGAAAACTTGGCGTGAAGTCCCACGACAGTGATTGCCAGGCCGATGATAGGAGCCAGCCATGCAACTGCCCTTGTGATATCATTTCTTCCATTCGAGAAACCCGAATGGGCCTTGAAGATAGAGAGGGGATCGGCGGTCCAGAGGTTGGCGACCTTGGAAAGGAGTGAATCAAGCGACTTCAAATTAGACAGTGCGGGAGAGATCGAAGTCCTCTGCTTACGGACGAGGTGCAGAAGGTGCTCCACAGATCCTGAGCTTCTGGATATCTCGACGTTGCTAAGATCCTCAGAGTAGTCGCGCGCCGCTAAGCGGACACGAGGCAGCAGGTCCAGGAAACGGTGGAAATATGAATCTGCCTTCTTAAGCAACTGTGCGTCGGCCATGCCAGCTTCGAACGCCGGGATGGTGGCAAGGATTTGGGGAACAGATGCCTGTGCCTCCAGCAAACTGGTGTTGACGTTACGTTTCACACCCATTTCGTAGATCCGGTGTAACGTGTCAGCATAGAAACGACGCTTCTGAACCTTGAGATGCTGGACATCATCCTTGTTCTCTTCCGTCAAGGTCTTCGGGGTCTGTGACTTGAACTCCTTGATACTCTCAACGACATATTTGACAAAGCTTTCGAGGTCTTCGGCAACATCGAATTCTTTCGAGATCGAACCATACACCTGTATCATGCTGCTAGCAGTGTTGTCGGGGTTCTTAAATCGAGGTGGTCTATCGATCCAGGCTTTCTCCTCTGTCTGACACATCGCCAGGGCTTCGGGGAAGACGAAGGAAGGAAGAACCAATCGTTGAGGAGCAGTAGTATCCTCGTTGTCCTCTGGCATGTCTTGCTCTAGGATAGGCTGAGCTGGCTGGGCCAGAGCCTCTCTATACTTGCGGACCAACTTGAAAAGTTTGACGTGTGACCGTCTAGCACTTTCCCGGAGGGCGACAATGTTGGTATCCTTCCAGCTAGCAAGCTGAATCTGCTCCTTAATATTCTTCTCAAGTGCCTGCCTCTTTTCAGCCAACAATTTAAGCACAGGAGGTTCAAACTGTCTATAACGCTGGAGGAAATTGTCGAGAGCAGACGTGAGTTGACTCAATGACGGAAGATCTTCCACATAGAGCAGCAACAAAGACTGGAAGTTCTTAATCAGTCGGAGACGCTCGCTGTATTGTCCAACAGTGGCGGAGCGGAAGAACTGCTCCAGGGTTGCGGTAACCTCTTGAATGTGGTCCTTCAGCTCCATTTCACCGGATTCAGCGATTTGGATCGGAGCCCGGACCAAGGCCTCGTAAGTGATGAACCACCATGAGCTGACATCCTTGAGGCATTTGTCGTTCTCCAAGTCCAAGAGTTTGGCCCAGGTGGTCAATTCAAGTCGCCGCCAGCCAATGATAGTGCCTGTGATCTCGTCATACAGGGAGGCTGCTGAGTACTCTCTGCTTGCCACCAACTGCCATTCATACACAAGGCTGTGAAGCTTTTCAACCTTAGTAAGGAA